CACAAAGCTCATCCGGGAAACCTTCTCTGGTATTGCAGCCTTCTTCTATTGGAGCCCTAATTATGGATTCTGATTATTCCACATCTCTAATCACACAAATCACCTGAAGATCACTTTAGGTTTAGGTGACAGCAATTGGTTTCTATGAAGGCTTTTATTCTTCCATAGACTAAAGCCTGTCTACAGGATTTATTTATTATGCGCGTTTGCCTATCCCTCTTTCTAACTGAAGAACTGTGTGTCACAGATGCTCGGTGATATCGTTTGGAGGTTTGTTGAAATGTGATCCCCAGTGTTGAAGGTGGGGCCTGGTGGGAGGTGTCTGCATCATGAAGGCTTGCTGCCCTCCCCATGGCAATGAGAGAGTTCTCACCCTGTTAGTCCATACTAAAGCTGGTTGTTTAAAAGAGCCTGGCATCTCTCTCGCTCCCTCTCTTGCCATATGACCTACCTGCCTGTACCCTATTCACCTTCCACCATGAGTAAAATCTTCCAGAGGCCGGAGGCCTCACCAGAAGCTGAACAAACATGGCTGCCATGCTTGTACAGCCTGCAGAATTGTGATTCAAATAAACCTCTTTTCTTTGTAAATTACCCAATCTCGGATAATCCTTTATGGCAATGCAAAACAGACTAACACACTTGCTGAAAAAATAAGTGGGTAGCCATGTTATATATCATTTCCATATGTGGAAAGTCACTTTCTGACTGGAGCGTAAGGCAAATCAAGTCTCACGTGGTTCTCTAAGGCTTCCGATTAAAACCCTCACACTCTGCATGGGCAGCGGGGCCCAGGGTCTGCTTTGACCATCTCACCCAGCAGGGCCATGATGATGGAACCCCATTTCTCTGCTTCCCTTGACAGAAAGACTAGAAAAGCTGCCTGCACTCACAGTCCCAATGGCCTCCTCAACACGTCTCCCTTGAATCCATTTACAGATCTGACCCCCTGCTCCAGTGGGGTTGCTCTTCCCAAGGTGCTTCCCTGCCTCCGTGTTGGCAAATCCAGTGGTTGGTTGCTGGACTTGCTCTTGCTTGACTGTTGGCAGCTTTGATGTGGTTGATGACATGCTTCTCTTTGTACCATCTTTCCACTCAATTTCTGAGACATCACTACCTCCTGGTTCTCTTTCTACCTCACTTGATTTTACTTTCTTCTGCTGAATACTCCTCTTTTTCCTACCCCTGGATGTATGAACACCCCCGGCTTTGTGGTGGGACCTCTGTGTACACATCCTCCTCTTATGTAGGTCTGTATTCTATTGCTGTAACTGTCATTTGTAGGTGATATCTTCTGCTCTATCTATTCTAGACTTGTCTATCCAATGGCCTACTTGGTCTGTGCACCTCTGTGCCTAATTTGAAATTCAAATTTAACGTGTCCAAAGCTAAACATTTGATCATTTTGCAAAAACCTGCTTTCTTCCCAGTTTTACCCATCTCAATAAATAGGAATTAAATGTTTCTGATTTTTAGGATCCAAGCTTCAAAATTACCTTGAGTTCATTTCTTTCTCTCATTCTTCACATCTATATATTTGAGAAATTCTATGGACTCTACTTCAAATATATCTTTACTATCTAATCACTTCTTAGAGGAGGGACCTTTAGAATGTTGAAGTGAGGACTTCCATAAATCCAATTCTCCATAAAGGCAATGACAATACAGGCAAATTATCAATGCCAGCCTCTTTTCAACAACACCCAGAACTCTGGAAATTGACCAAAGGCTTACAACAACTTGAAAAGCATTTATTCATGAAAGATGACTGAACATTGATAAGAACAGCAGAGCTGTGTTCTAACTTGGCCTACTCCCCTCCTTCTGTCCTCAGTCCTGCAGTATCCTTGAAAACCAGGAGTCTCAAACTCACAGCAATCACAAAAGCCAACAGTCTCACGGCTACTGGGCAGGGCTGAGTGGATTTGGAGAACTCCAAAAGGTCCCTCCCCAAGGCATTGTCCCCATTGGATCCACCTCACAGCTCTCCGGGAGAAGTCCCACTCACAGGGCATTGACCTGACTCAGAGCTCCATGAGAAAAGTCCCATCTCAAGAGCATTTGTTAAAAATAATGAACTGCATTTTTAAAAAATCTGGGGATCAAGATGTTCATAGAAGGCTTTGAAGAGCTGTGCTTTTCTTTGGGAAGGCCTTCAGGCTTTTCACATGTATAGGGTTGCATCCAGGCTCAGGACAGATCTGAAGGAGTCCCAGCCACTCACCTTTGGCTGAACTTGAGACCCTGCACAAGCAGGAAGTAAAGGCTAAGGAAGACTTGGGAATGGCCTGGGCACGGAAGATGTGCCTGACACAGAAAACGCTGTTAAAGGGTGCCTGGAAGCCTTGCTGTCTAAGACATCTCAGGAAACCTCTGACTGCTAAGCTAACTAAGCAGAGACTTCGGTAGTCCCATATAACAGGGAATACAGACTTTATGGAATTAAAAAACAAAACACAAAACAGCCGCAACAAAAAACCCTGGAGAAGGGATAGGATCAGAGCTCCAAAGTTGCCTCATTCTATTATCTAAAATGTCCAGTTTTCAAAGAAATACTATGGGATGCACAAAAGAAACAGGAAGGTGTGGCCCATATATAGGAACAGAAGCAACCGCTAGAAAATATCCCTGAGGGGGCCCGGATGTTGGACTTATCACAGCCTTTAAATCAGTGATCGCACAATTGCACATATGTTGAAAGAACGAAACTCAAATCACTCCTCATCATCTCTGCTGATCCTCCTCTGGTGCGTCATCTGACCTGGCCTGGGCAGTATCTTCCTCTCTGGCTCCCTGGATCACAGCTGCTCCTTACAGTCTGCTCTTTGTGCATGAGCAGCAGTCAGGTCAGGCCAATTCTTTCAATTGCTTGCATTGCACTCCTGTTAAAAATCCAGAGTTCTTAGCAGAGCACAATGGCACCTCATGATATGATTCCAGCCACTTCTCTGACCTCCATCCTATGACTCCCTGCTTTCTCACTGCTCCCTCAGCACACCAGCCTCCTGCACTTCCTGCGTGTGACTTCAGGTCCCAGGTCAATTATCACCTTTTCTAAATGACCTTCCTAATTTTTTTTTCATGCCTTCCCTTCTCTAGAATATAGGCTCAGTGAGATGAGGTAAGGTGCCTCTTATCCCAGTGCAGTTAAAATACCTGGTTTAGAGTAGATAATGAATATTAGTTGAATGTATGAATGAATACAGGCTGAAACAGCTTAATGGTTATACTAGGTGATTAATTTCATTAGGAATGTTAATCACAAGGATTTTGTAGTCATCATGTGGTGCTCATTGGTGCTCAGTGGCAGAAAACTCTAAAATGCTTCTCTTGGCCATTTTTGAAACATCCAAATCAGTAATTTAAAAATGTTTACTTTAAAAATTTTAAAAATGCAATAGGCTGGCCTGGTGCGGTGGCTCATGCCTGTAATCCCAGCACTTTGGGAGGCCAAGGGGGCCAGATCACAAGGTCAGGAGTCAAGACCAGCTTGACCAATATGGTGAAACCCCGTCTCTACTAAAAATAAAAAATTAGGCAGGTGTGGTGGCGCATGCCTGTGATCCCAGCTACTTGGAGGCTGAGGCAGGAGAATCACTGGAACTCAGGAGGTGGAGGTTGTGGTGAGCCGAGACGCCTCATTGCACTCCAGCCTGGGCAAAAAGAGTGAGACTTGGTCTCGAAAAAAAAAAAAAAAACAGTAATGCAAAACCACCGAATGATTCAAATGAGGGATCTCGCATAATCCAATTTGTTTTCCCAAGATCACACTGCCTGCTCTGCGGAGATCAGATTGGGTGGAGGCAAGAATAAATGTGGGGAATCCCTTGGCAAGCAATGTGAAGGTCCTGGCGAGATTCACTGAGGCTTGAATGGTGGCCATGGCAATGGAGAAAGGGAAGTCTAATTTCTCACAGTTCCAGAGGCCAGAAGTCCAAAGGCAAGTTGTGGGCAGGGCCAGCTCCTTCCGAGGCCTCTCTGAGATTTCTCCTTTCCCCACCTCTCTCCCAGCTCTCAGTGGCTGCAGGTGCTTCTGGCTGGTGGCTGCGTCCCTCCGCGCTCTGCCTTCATCGTCCCATGGTTCTTCCTCGTGTGGATCAGGATGTCCTCTCCTCTTCTTACAAGGACACCAGTCCTGGAATTTACAGCCTGATCCTGATCGCATCTGCAAAAACTCAATTTCCAAATAAGATCGTGTTCAGAGGTTCTAGGTGGACGTACATTTTGAGAGGCACAGTTCAACCCAGGACAGAGGGTGAGGGCAGTTTCCAGGATAACCAACAGGTGTCCATGTAGATGGCAGTGCCTGCAAGTATCAGAGTGGAGTCTCTGGAAGCAGGTCTGAGGTGAGAGGTCGAGAGCTTTGACTTAGTCATGTCAGGGGAAAGGCACTGGGAGGCATCAGAGAGGCCCTTCCAGGGTTCCGTTGGATGTACCAATCTGAGAGGTTCGGTTTGAAAAGGAAATTTTGGAGAGGTGATATGAAGATGGTGTTGATAGCCACAGGACTGGATGAGTTGAGCAGGGAAGGAAAAGACGGTAGTGTCAGGATTTGTAGTATCTTTAAGAAAGTTTGCTCTTTGGAGGAGAGTCACAGCCCAGCCTAGCATGTTCCCATACTTTCCTGAGTGTTGGTAAGCTGATACAAGTTTTGAAGTGAACTTTCTTTCTAAACTTCCTTGGAGTCTGAGAGGCCACAGTGACTCCTGATTCTGTTCCAAGATGTCTGACTAATCAGAAATAAAAACCTGCATGGGTTCCAGGAGGTGGCACAGTTTAGGTCCTAAGGCTGTAGGCTGGGCTTGGAATTCTCTGTAGGGTGCTGGGCTGTTTGTCCATGCAGTGTGTGGTGACCTGGGGCCACACAGAGGGAGAGGAGAAGCAGCAGACCTGGCTGGGGCCCCAGAAATCTGAGGCCTGCTCATGGGTCAGTTCAGGTTTTCTGAACTTCGGCCACTGACCCTTACTGTTACCACCCTTGGGACCTCATCCGTGGGATGAAATGGTACCAGTGAATCCTAATTCGTGGGGATGTTTTATTTATTTATTTAGAGATAGCTCCTCACTCCATCACCCGGGCTGGAGTGCAGTAGTGCAATCATGGCTCACCACAGCCTCAACCTCACAGGCTCAAGTGATCCTCCTGCCTCAGCCTCCTGTGTAGCTGGGACTGCAGGCATGCACCATGATGCCCAGTTAATTTTTTGTATTTTTGATAGAGATGGGGTCTCTGTATGTTGCCCAGGCTGATCTTGAGCTCCTGTGTTCAAGCAATCCTCCATCTTGGCACCCCAAACTGCTGGAATGACAGGTGTGAGACCCCACACCTGGCCTCATAGGGTCGCTGTAGGGACAAGCGGGATGGTGCACCTGACGCCTGAGCACGGGTCCCGGCACAGAAGGAGCCACTAAGAAGACTTGATAAGGAAAGCGAGAGGCAAAACATGAGGCCAGATGTTGTTTTTCAGCCAATCTGCACTTTTCTGTTAAAATGAAAGGAGCAAAGCCTCATATTTTTGCAGGCCATGGCGATCTGAATAGGCGTGAGGAAGAACTGTTTGACGTGGAGATTTCAACGGTAAGAGATGGGTCAGAGAGACACGGAGGGGCCTCCTTCACTGCCACACCATGCCCAGAGAGGGGTGCACAGATCCCAGAGGAAAGTTGTGGGTTGAAAATGTGTCCTTTTATAGCAGAAGAATTAAGTATCATTATTCCTAAGCCTTAAAAATACATTAGGATTATGGGCCTATTGTATTCAAAATTCCTATGACACAAGGTCGCAGCTGTGATGCTTCAGCTGGTTTCTTCTCTGGAGCAACATACAGTGGGGATTGTTAGGATTTCCCGGCAGACATACTGAAGCCCGGGGGGCTGTGTGCACGGGAACATGTGTGGAAAAGCAGCCAGTCAAGGAGCTCCAGAAAACGGAACAGCAGCCTGCATGACCTAAAATAGGGCTATGCTAACCTTCACAAACGAGGTGGGGCTATTCCCAAGAAACCTGATTTTACGTGATGTCATCCCTTCTCCTTACCTACCGACAGTCTGTGAACACAAAAGATACCATGATTGTGTCAAGGTCAAAATCAAAGTAAAATGCAACAGGTAAAGCTGCTCAGCAGGAAAATGCCCTTGAACTGATCTGGGTTGGTTCCCTTTCATCTCAGCCATTAACCATCTAAAGGCCCAAGCAGGAGAATTTTGGATCTTCCTTCTTTATTTTTTTCTTTTCTTTTTATTTTCCTTCTGTCATCTCTGATCGCCTTGCACTAAGCCCATGCTAACAGGACAGAGAGATAAAGAGCGAACACAAACATGTCTTGGCCCCTGCGGCCACTGAGATAAGTTTAATAATTTAAATTGACCCAGGGGCCTATGTATGGAATAATCCTCCACGTAGATGACCCGGTGATTCCTAACTCATTTTCGAGTCCGTATCCAGCCGTGTGAAAGTGTTAATGTCTCCCCCCATCACACTGTGCTGGGTACACTTATCTTTTTCATACCCAATAACCAGAGACAATGATTATATTATTCATAAGATATTTTTACCTGAAGTGATAAGGCATACAGCTTTAGTTATTATTTTCTAATCTTTTTTTTAACTGGCACCTTCTTGTATAGCCCAAGGAATAGACTTGATTTTTATATTAAAATTGTCTTTTCCACATTTTTAGTTGTTGTTGATTTTTTAAAAATTAATATTATAGGATAAACAGTGGGAATTTAAAAATGAGAGCCTATATTCTATTTGTAAGGAAGCAGAGGCAAATATAGTAGGAGTCATATGACAAATGCTTTTGGTCCGTACCTGCTGCTGACCTCCTTTAGTTACAAATCCCCTAGAGAAGGATGAATACTATAGACCCTGTCCTCAGACACTGGGCATGTTCACACACACCTGAACTCTGAGCTGAATTTGGTAGATTGAAAGCCTTCCTGAAATCTGACTTCCCTGTTATCTTCCTTGCAGTATGAGGCCTTCCTACCACGACAGATGTGACGTCCAATTGTTTTGGGGCAAAATAAGTGACAGATATGCTCTAATATGTTTCTCTGCTATTCTGCTAATTCGAATGGATGTTGATGAAAGTCCTATTGCCCAAGAATTTCCTTCAGTTTCCTCCTGAAGACCGAGTCTGCCAAATAAAGTGTATGCCTTAGACAAACATCACATCTTCTCACTTATTTGTGGGATCTAAAAATCAAAACAGTCGAACTCATGGACATAGAGAACAGAAGGATGGTTGCCAGAGGCTGGGAAGGGTAGTGGGTGTGGAGCAGGGGAAGGTAGGGATGGTTAATGGGTACAAAAAATAGAAAAATAAATAAAACCTACTATTTGATAGCACAACAGGGTGACTGTAATAGTCAATAATAAAACAATAACTTGCTTGTACATTTTAAAATCACTTGAACAATGTAATTGGATTGTTTGTAACTCAAAGGATACATGTTTGAGGGGACGGACACCCCATTGGCCATGATGTGATTATTATGCATTGCAAGCCTGAATCAAAACGTTTCATGTACTGCATAAATATATACATCTACTATGTACCCACAAACATTAAAAATAAAAAAATTAAAGTGCATGTGTTTTCTGAAGTTCAAATACAATTGAACTATTAGAATTTTCCTAAATTCTAGAAATCTCTAGAAATTTTAGAATCTTTCTCTACAGTAAAGAGATTAGCACATTTGGAAGAAGATTAGATATTAATAGGTTATGTTATGCTTCCTTCATTAATGGTTTAGAATGAGGTGATTTCCCTGATGAAATGGAGAAGTCAGAATACTCATGTTTGTACCCATCTGTTTCACTTGACCTTGGCTGAGTCTTGTTACCTCTTTTTTTTTTTTTGAGGCAGAGTCTTGCTCTGTCTCCAGACACCAGGCTGGAGTGCAGTGGTGCGATCTCAGCTCACTGCAACCTCCGCCTCCCAGGTTCAAGCAATTCTCCTGCCTCAGCCTCCTGAGTAGCTGGGACTACAGGCCCATGTCACCATGCCCAGCTAATTTTTGCATTTTTAGTAGAGACGGGGTTTCACCATGTTGGTCAGAATGGTCCCGATCTCTTGACCTTGTGATCTGCCTGCCTCGGCCTCCCAAAGTACTGAGATTACAGGAGGGAGCCACCGGCCTGGCCATCTTGTTACCTCTTACAGATTCCTTATTAAACAAGAGCAGGTTGTGTTGATTTCTATGCTCCTTTCTAGCTGTGTTACCACATCATGAACCTTTGATTCATTTGGCTCTTACTCTTGACCACCAGGTCCCTTCAGTTTCCTGAGTCATGGGGCTGTTTCTGCAGTTATGTGGAAATAACAGAAGCCTTTGCAAACCCTTCCTCATATTGGGGTGCAAATATGGTCACCTGTTCTTATTTTAAACAATTGCCCAAGGACCTCAGATGCCACATTAGCGGAAAGACTCACCATATCCAAAACCCTCAGGGCATTGGACAGCCGGAAGACAGTGACTGCTTCAGCCCGTGAGCAACCGCAGGATGGGGTTCAGAGCTCTTCCTGCCACACTGAGTCTCCCAGGGTACTCGATCCTCTCCTGCCACGCTGAGGCTGACCTCAGTTGCAGAATGCCTCTCGTCCCCAACCCTGTAAGCACTGTGTTTCTCAGAGGAAGGACGACCTTCTGCTGTCAGTGCTCGGCTCTCTCCGTGCTTGGGCCCCGATGCTGCAGATCTGGGGTCTCATGGTCCGTGTTGCCAGACATGGCTGCATTTCAGGCCTCTGGGTGGGCCTGGGCCCAAGGCAGCCAGGAAAGGAGGGTGTGTGTGTGCCACGCCGTGGGCCAGGAGCCCATTTGCTGCCCTCCCCTAGGACCCGGGACACGGAGCAGACATTTGTTTTGCTGCTAAGCTTTTCAAACACAGTGCCTGAATTCACATCTAAAAAAAAAAATAGAAAATGAGACGCTGGAAAGGAGACTATGAACTTCATTCCTTTCAGGGGAGGCTGACTGCATCATTCTGGGCGGTGAGCTCTGTGATGCTAAGATCATTCAGTGTCGAAGAGAAGCTCTCCAAGTGATTCAAGGACATTCACACTTGTTCTTCTGTGATGGGTATTCCGAGTGATTTCTTACACTTCCCTTCTAGATAACTGTCTTTAAACTTTTGAGCACCTTCTTCCATTTTGAAGCATTGATCTTTGATGATGCATGGCAGCACCTTTTGAGGACAGAGACTGTCTCCACTCTGTGGCCCAGAATCCTCATTAGAAAAGTTTGGAGTCAGCCAGGCTCAGTGGTTCATCCCTGTAATTCCAGCACTTTGGGAGGCTAAGGTGGGTGGATCGCTTGAGCTTACAAGTTTGAGACCAGCCTGGGCAACATGGAGAAACCCCATCTCTACAAAAAATACAAAAATTCGCTGGTCATGGTGGTGCTTGCCTGTAATCTCAGCTACTCAGGAGGCTGAGGTAGGGGGCTGGCTTGAGCATGGGAGGTGAAGGTTGCAGTGGGCTATGATCGTGCCACTGCACTCCAACCTGGATGACAGAGCCAGGCGTTTTCCAAAAAAAAAAAAAAAAAAAAAAGCCTGAAGTCCCATGTCCTGTGAGCACACAGCAACTAACATCTTTGTGACCGGCAGAATGACATTGTGCCACCTGTCTGAGTGAGAATTTATTGAGTATTTATGCCCTACATTTACTGTGAGAACTAAGGGGGAAAAATGCATATGATTCTTGGCTGAGTGCTTGACATGTTTTCTTTGTTTAATAAAAATTAGCTATTATTCTTGTTTGCTATTACTTTTTATTGTAAAAGACACCATTTTAGTTCTTGGAGAAATAAAATAAGCCATTTAATACATTCACATTAGGAAGGGGTTAGTTCTATCATGGTTATTTGTGGTTTTGGAACAATTTGATCTCTTTACCAATAATTGTACATTTGAAAGCTGAAACTATTAAAGTGCAAAGATTCCAGTTGGACTGATAAAATTCTCTATCTGCTTAGCATATATATTTTTTACTATATTAGGATGAGAGAAAATGAAACAAATAATGAATTAGCAAATGGTATTTTCAAGGGAAACCAACTGAAAACTTAGCAAGTTTAAGTTCAGTGGATATAGGTGCAACTTAGCTCACTTGTGAAAAGCAAACAAATAAAATGTAAAATGTGAAATGATCGTGCTGCTTATGTGATTTGGAAAAATAACTCATGGCTTCAGTATTCTAAAAACTCTAAATTGACTTTAAAGATTGCTAAGAGGGAAGGAAGATGTGACACTAATATTTACATATTAAGTTTTGATGGAGACCATAAAAGAAACTTAGCATCAAATTTAAATGCTCATAGAAACGTCAGCCATGGTTAGATCATCTCCTTACAGTCACACAGGCGCTGTAACTTGCCATCGTAAACGAGAAGGAAAAGTGGGACTTACAATCTTGTCCCCAGTCGCTGATGAGCAGCATTTAAATTGTCTCTTTATATGAGGGTGAACGTTTAGTTGGGGGAAATGCAGAGAATCCAGGTGCTACAGAAAACTGTAATGGAGAACTTACTTAGAAGGTTTTTCATTGCTTTTTGCTTTAGGAAATGGAAGAAAGAATTTGTTGTGGTTGATGATGTTTCAGGTCAAGGACTAGCATGTACGATACTGAGCTCTATCTTACCTATAAAACCATTAATTTTATAGTATCATCCAGATGCACAAAAGATGAAATTGGAATATATAGGAGCTGAAAGGTAATATTGTGGAAATTTGTTTGTTTCTTGATCATACAAAATAGGGGTTGTGATTTTATAGCTAAAAAGTCAATGCTAATTTTATCTGATGCTTACCAAAGGAGAAAAGTTTTTAGTTTTATCCAAAGCCAACTTTCCCCATTGTGAGGTCTCCCATCATTTCCCCCCAGGAACTATAAATTTATAACTTGTCATTGGCCATATTATGTCCTATATCTCTATTTATTATTAATGCATATTTTAGAGTGCTGGTGAATATTGGCACATTTTATTATGCTGATAAACAATGTTGGACTGCTAGGTAAAATGTGTTGTCAGCAGTGATTTCTCTCTTCTCTTCCATACCTTTTTCATTTTATTCTGGACTTATAGAGATGAGACTGCAGGATATCAAATCATACTGGGGTCTGATCCTTCTTCTGTGTTTTTTAAGTTGATGAGTTAGGAATAGAATGGAAGAGATTATTCATTATGCAGAAATACACAAAAATATTTACACAACATAATTCTCTTCAGATATTTAGAAAGCGTATTAGTCATTGGCTCAAAGTAAGAAAATATTCTTCTCTCAAGACATAGAATTTTGACCCTTTGACTTTCAGAATCAACAATCCCACCGGGAGTTTAACTGAATAGGGGTGTAGATCAGGCACTTACCTAGAGTCCAGGAGACTGAGGATCAGCAGAACCAGGGAAGCTCAGGTACGTTAGACATCAATCACCCACAAAGGTTTAAGGCTCCCTCCACGTTCCAGTGACTCCCACAACCCTGAAGCAACTTGTGGAGGAAATACAGTGTAGCCATGTGGAGTTTCTGAGTGGCCAGTTGACGGGAATACTTAGTATCATTGAGTTTTAAAATTAAGCTGTTGGATTTGCCTTGATTCAGGTGTATCGTTTTCATTACATTTGTTGTACATGGTAAGATGATTACCGCAGCATAATATGGCCTTCCAGGTTTTAGGGATAGTTTTTTGTTAGGATATTTGTAATGCTACTCAGTTTAGAGGCAGTCTGAACTTGAGAGGCAAAAGTGTGATACAATGTTATTTATTTATTTTTAATGGCCTTTATTCAAAGCATGACCTTCAATCTATCCTTCCAGCTGTGTAGGCTCCTGTAACACATCTCAGCCCAATTCCATGATTTTCAGCCACTTTAAGTTATGAAAACAATCCCATTTTATATGTGCCCCCAGGCTTCACCATAGGTTCTTTGAAGTCCCCTCTTCCGCTCTTTAGTGAGGAGAACCAAGCAAGTCTCCCCCTCTATTCCTTCAAGGGAGGAGAATCAGGGATGGAAAAGTCTCTCTTTTTAGCTCCTTCCCCCAAAAGCAGAGGCTTTATATCCGTATTTCCTGGCGGTCAGGCTGCCTGGAACAGTTTGAGTCAGTTGGCCCAGCAGCAGAGATTTCCTGCCTGTACCAGGGTGTAGTCGTTCATTTTCTGTATCAATTTAGAGCATGCTTTTAGATGAGATTAATGTTCAAAACAGTGAACTGTGGGTAAAGCAGATTGCCCTTCAAAGTGTGGTGGGCCTCATCTAATCAGCTGAAGGTCTAAATGGAACACAAAGACAGGCCTCACTGAGCAAGGGGGACTAGCCAGCAGGTGGCCTTTTGGTCCACCCACACCGTTGCTCTCCTGGGTCCCTACCTGCTGGCCCACCCTGCAGATGTAGAATTTGCTAGTCTCCGTAATTGCATAAAGCAATTCCTTATTTAGGATCAATAATAGTATCCTAATAGATCCTTATTAGGATCAATATATTATCCTATATGTATATACACATTACTATCTGTTCAAGTTTTCTGGAGAACCGTGACTAACACACAGGGCTTTCTTTGAAAGTCACCTGGTAGAATTTATAACTTTGTTCTGTGTTTCCACTCCAATCCCTGCATGACTCAGTCATCTCTGAGTGACAGCCAAAGAACTCCACTAATGCCTTGAAATATCCATCAGACAAGCACATCTTATATTTGTGTGAAATCTGACCCCATTATGAGAGAAGAGGGTAGTGGAGGCAGTGAGTGGCTGGTGTAGCATTCAAGCCTCTGAAGACAGATGTGCACTGCAGGTGGTGTATAGCTGTTCACAGTATCTGAGGCCTCTTCCTTCCTGAGGGGAGATGATTCTTCCCTATGCTGTTATGCTGGGGTGTGGCTGTGTGATTTGCTGTGGCCGATGATACGTGAGTGGAAATGACGCTTTCAGCAGCAGCTTCGAGCATCAGCTGGTGCTCTGTCATGCACGCTGCATTAGTCCATTTTCACACTGCTATAAAGAAATACCCGGGACCGGGTAATTTATGAGGGAAAGAGGTTTAATTGACTCACACGGCTGGGGAGACCTCAGGAAACTTACAATCATGGCAGAAGGCAAAGGAGAAGCGAGTACCTTCTTCACAGGGCGGCAGGAAAGAGAAGAACAAGCGGAGGAAATGCCAGATGCCTACAAAACCATCAAATCTCACGAGAACTCTCTTACTATCACAAGAACGGCACGGGAGAAACTGCCCCATGATCCAATCACCTCCCTCCCTCGACACGTGGGGATTACAGGTCCCTCCTTCAACAGGTGAAGATTACAATTTGAGATGAGATTTGGGTGGGGACACAGAGCCAAGCCACATCACACTCCTTCTGTCTGCCTTGGTCATTGCCACTCTTCCAGGGGATGCTGCCGGCACCTGGGCTCCAGTTTGAAGGCCGTGGATCAGGGCTGCAGCCCACCTGCTTTGGGCAAGTTGCATAAGAAACAAAACTTTGGGCCAGGTAGGGTGTGGTGGCTCACACTTGCAATGCCAGAACTTTGGGAGGCTGAGGAGGGCAGATCACTTGAGGTCAGGACTTTGAGATCAGCCTGACCAATATGGCGAAATCTTGTCTCTACTAAAAATACAGAAAAATTAGCCAGGCATGGTGGTGGGCACCTGTAGTCCCAGCTACTTGGGAGACTGAGGCAAGAGGATTGTTTGAACACAGGAGGCAAAGGTTGCCGTGAGTTGAGATTGAGTCACTGCATTCCAGTCTGGGTGACAAAGGTTGGGTGTGGTGGCTCATGCCTGTAATCCAGCACTTTGGGAGGCCGAGGTGGGTGGATAACGAGGTCAAGAGATCAAGACCATCCTGGCTAACATGGCGAAACCCCGTCTCTGCTAAAAATACAAAAATCAGCTGGGCATGGTGGCATGCGCCTGTGGTCCCAGCTACTCGGGAGGCTGAGGCGGAAGAATCACTTGAACCCAGGAGGTGGAGGTTGCAGTGAGCTGAGATTGCACCACTGCACTCCAGCCTGGCAACAGAGCAAGACTCCATCTCAAAAAAAAGAAAAGAAAAGAAAAGAAAAGAAACAGGAAAAAAACTTCATTGGTGTACTTAGTTACTGCAAAATAATATTTTCTATTTTAGCAGATACATCACCATTTTAAACAGGTAGGGGCAAAGTCCCTACAATATCAGGCATTTAAGAATGTACTCAGGCTCATAATTATGGTTACAGATTTCTATAGTGATGTGGAATAAAATGTTCTCGATTTTTGAATCAAAATTTGCTTGTTTGTCACATACTGGGAGACACTGTTGTTGTGTGGCTATCACGGGCTAGTAATTGCTACAAAAAGTGTAATGGCTTCAAAGCCATTTAAAATTCTCTTTGGAATTCTGAATTCAATTGTTGATCTAATCCATGGTAAGAAAATTTTAAAGGCAGCCCAGATTTGACCACTATGGAATATATCCGTGTAACAAAATTGCACTTTTACCCCTTACATTTATATCAGTAATTTATTTTAATTGGTTTTAATTTTAATTTTTGTGGGTACATAGTAAGTGTATATATTTATAGTGTACATGAGATGTTTTGATACATGCATACAATGTGAAATAAGCACATCATAACCTCTGAGGCATCCACCCCCTCAAGCATTTATCCATTGAGTTGCAAACAATCCAATTGCACTCTTTCAGTTATTTTAAGATGTACAGTTAAGTTATTACTGACTATAGTCACCTTGTTGTGCTATCAAATAGCAGGTCTTATTCATTCTTTCCATTTTTTAATATCAATAATTAAAAATAAACAAAGAGAGATGTTTAATATCACAGGTGATGACCTCAGTCCAGAAGCTTATCAGTCTCCTCACCTATAAATTATAGCTGTGAGCATAGGATAATCTCTTAGGTCCTTCCTAGATCTCGTATACTAAAATATGTATGATATTAGACATTAGATTTGGAAGCGTTCATAGAGGTCATTTTACCCTGTGATGCCCAAAACAAGAGTGGCTTCCACAGCAACCCTGCAAGGGACCATTGAGCCAGAGTGTTCTCGTGAGGGTCCAGAGTCTCTTGAGACAGCTCTATTTTCTTTAGAAAGTTCTTATGCTGGTCGTTTGTTAGTGGTGGATTTTTGACTTGTGCAAAACAAATGGTTTCTCCAAATAATAAAGAGAAAAAATGATTAGCTCAAGAACTTTCTGAATAGTACAAGAGCCTTCTCTTTTTTTCTAAGAGAAAGTCCTCCCAATGCTTGAAGCCACCATCATTGATCCCCCCAGCCCTCTCTTCTCTGCGACAAACACTTAAAATCACTTTCAGTGCTCTTCCCAGAGCACTCCTGACAGAATCCTCTCTATCTTTTTACTCATCCCTAGACACACTCTTGGAGTCAGTAACACAAATCAAATAATATATGGGCCTAGAATCAAATATAACGCTCGAAGTATGGAAGGAAGGAGAAGGGCGGGACTGTTACTCGCCATTATGTGGAGCCTTGTTCATATGCATATTGTCATAGTTAACTAATATACCTGGTAGAGTTTGGCTGTGTCCTCACCCATATTTCATCTTGAATTGCAGCTCCTGTAACACCCACATGTTGTGGGAGGGACCCAGTGGGAGATAATTAAATCATGAGACTGGTTTCCCCCTACTGTTCTTGTGGTATTGAATAAGTCTCAAGAGATCTGACGGTTTTATAAGGGGAAACTCCTTTTGCTTGGGTCTCATTCTCTCTTGTCTGCTGCCAGGTAAGATGTGCCTTTCATTTTCTGCCATGATCATGAGGCACCCCCAGCCATGTGGAATTGTGAGTCAATTATATCTCTTTCCTCTATAAATTACCCAGTCCCAGGTATGTATTTATTAGCAGTGTGAAAATGGACTAATACAGAAAACTGATATTGGTGGAGTAGGGTGCTGCCATAAAGATACCCCAAAATCTGGAAGCAACTTTGGAATTGGGTAGCAGGCAGAGGTTGGAACAGTTTGGAGGGCTCAGAAGAAGACAGGAAAATGTGGGAAAGTTTGGAATTTCCTAGAGACTTGTTGAATGGATTTGATCAAAATGCTGCTAGTGATATGGACAATGAAATTCAGGCTGAGGTGGTCTCAGATGGAGATGAGGAACTTGTTGGGAACTGGAGTAAAGGTGACTCTTGCTGTGTTTTAGCAAAGAGACTGGTGGCATTTTGCCCCTGCCCTAAAGATTTGTGGAACTTTGAACTTGAGAGAGACGATTTAAGGTATCTGGCAGAAGCCAGAAAAACATTCGAGAGGTGGCTTGGGTGCTGTTAAAGACATTCGGTTTTAAAAGGGAGAGCATAAAAGTTCAAAAAATTTTCAGCCTGATGATGTGATAGAAGAGAAAATCCAATTTTCTGAGGAGAAATTAAAGCCAGCTGCAGAAATTTGCATGAGTAATGAGGAACTAGATGTTAATCCCCAAGACAATGGGGAAAATATCTCCAGGGCATGTCAGAGACCTTTTTGGCAGCTACCCCAATCACTGGCCTGGAGTTCTAGAAGGAAAAAATGGTTTCCTGGGCAGGGCTCCCCTGCTGTGTGCAGCCTAGGGACTTGGTGCCCTGTATCCCAGCTACTCTAGTCATGGCTAAAAGGGACCAAGGTACAGCAAGAGCCATGGCTCCAGAGAGTGCCAAGTCTCAAGCCTTGGTAGCCTCCATGTGGTGTGGAACCTGGTTTAGACTTCTTCACAGAAGGCAAAAATTGAGGTTTGGGAACTTCTGCTTAGATTTCAGAGGATGTATGGAAATACCTGGATGCCCAGGCAGAAGTTTGCTGCAGGGGTAGGGCTCTCATGGAGAACCTCTGCTAGAGCAGCATGGAAGAGAAATGTGGGCTTGGAGCCCCCACACAGAGTCCCCAGTGGGATACTGCCTAGAGGAGCTGTGAGAAGAGGGCCACCATCCTTCCAGCCCCAGAATGGTAGATCCGAAAGCTTGCACCATGCACTTGGAAAAGCTGCAAGCACTCAATGCCAGCCCATGAAAGCAGCTGGGAGTGAGCCTGTACCCAGCAAAGTCACAGGGGCAGAGCTGCTCAAGAGCATGGGAGCCCACCTCTTGCATCAGCGTGACTTGGATGTGAGACATGGAGTCCAAGGAGTTCTTTTTGGAGCCTTAAGACTTGACTTTCCCACTGGATTTTGACTTTGGTTGGAGCCTTTAGCCCCTTTGTTTCGGTCCATTTCTCCCATTCAGAATGAGTGTATTTACCTAATGCCTGTACCCGCATTTGATCTAGAAAATAACTAACTGGCTTTTGATTTTACAGGCTCACAAACAGAAGGGACTTGCTTTGTCTCAGGTGAGACTTTGGACTGTGGACTCCAATGTTAATGGAATTAAATGAATTAAGACTTTGGGACACTGTTGGGAAGGCATAACTGGTTTTGAAATGTGAGGAAATGAGATTTGGTAGGGTCCAGGGACAGAAAGATGTGGTTTGGCTGTGCCCTCACAAAATCTCATCTTTGAATTGTAGCTCTCATAATACCCACATGTTGTGGGAGGGACCCAGTGGAAGATAATTGAGGCATGGGGCTGGTCTCCCCCATTCTGCTCTCATGGTTGTGAATAAATCTCACAAGATCTGATGGTTTCATAAAGGGAAACCACTTTTGCTTTGTTCTCATTCGTTTGCCGCTGTGTAAGAGGTGTTTTTCACCTTACACCGTGATTCTGAGGCCTCCCCAGACATGTGGAACTGTGAGTCCCTTGAACTTCTTTTTCTCTCTAAATTACCCAGTCTCAGGTATGTATTTATAGCACTGTGAAAATGGACTAATAAATTAAATTTGTGGTTACTTAAAATCAGATTCTTCTGTACTCTTGCATAGAAAATTTGATGATTAACCAATTTATTAAAGGAATTCAGTCTAGTTTTCTAGCCTACTAATAAAACTGCAATTTTTTGGATCTTTTTTTGCTCTTACAATGACACGTTTCAAGCTTTTTACAGTAAAAAGTACAAACAAAATTTGGATTCCTGTAAATATGTGATTCAACTCTTTATACAGATTACTCAAAAAATGTAGAGTTCCTTCAGTTTTGAAGCACACATACCAAAAAATGGTATACGGCTCAAAACTTTTAGCACTCCTCTATAAAGTATTCCCCACGCTGGCTCCACAGCTCAGGGGTTAGAGCATTGGGATTGTCAATGATTCCCCAAGTCTATACAAGCAGAATAACTAATTTCTTGCTTAATCAGTGGTGAGCACATAAACTAATATATTGTTAACCCAAGATTGTTAACCTGAGGTTTATCATGAATCATGGCAGTGGTAATTCCGGAGATGGAGGTGCTCTGTACCGATGCAATCTATTGCTGTACATGTTTAGTAAATATATCAGAAAAGAAAATTAGTTTGGCACGATTGGTCTTCATGGATCTTTCTGTCTAGTAATTCTAGGGATTGTGTTTTTTTCCCCCAGATGTGTATAAACGACTTGTTAATTTGATCAGTAACGTAGCTTGAGTCATCAGCTCTGTTCCCCTTTTGTACCCACACACCCTTTGTTTACTCCTCCAGCAGAGCTCCCATTTCTCGTTTCTCTGTGGCTCAGAGGTCTCCTCTCCACATGTAAAAATTATTTTGAAGTGTATTCATTTGGTGTTTGAGCTTTGGTTTTGTTTAAAACTTAGTCTGAAGTATTGAAAAGGAAAAACAATTGGTTCATTTGAACTCCTCACAATACATAGTGTTTCGGCACGTGTATATCTTGTATACAAAGTGTATACAAGGTGTAACACTTTGATCAGTTCTTCCTTCCGTGTATGATTTTGACATCTGACGGACATATTATTCACCCAACACACATTTATCAAATTAACATGGTAAAAATCTGGGAAAATATATTTATTTTAGAAATTTTACTTACTATAAACTCATAGTTTCAAATAGATCTCTCTCCCCACACCGTGTGTGTGTGTGTGTGTGTGCGCGTGTGTGTGTGTGTGTGTGTGTGTGGTTACTATAAGAAAATGTTCAAAAAAATTAGAAAGGATGATGCATATTTGAACAGTATGAACAACCAAATTGACCAGGGTGACATTGTTAGAGCAGTACACTTAACAGAGGTGGGATCAATGCACTTTTCATGAGCACATGCAATGTTCACAAAGATAAATATGGTTATCTTGGGCCATTAGCAAGACTCAAAAGTTTTAAAACTATTGGAGTTTTATAGATGATATTTTCTGATCATAATAAATTTAATTAGAAATCAGTAACATTAGAATATCTAAACATACTCAAAATTAGAGATTATGAAAAACCTATCTTCCCAACTGGGGCAGGGAAAAAGAAAAAAAGAAAAAAAAGAAAAACTTATCTAAATAACCAAAGAAGAAATCCAAGCAAAGAAAGGAAAACATACTTAAACAGAATGGTAAGCAAAATGCAACATATCAAAATTTGAGGGATGCAGTTAAAGCCGTGCTTAGAGGAAAATTGATAATTTTTAATTCTTGATTTAGGAAAAGTGCTTAAAATCAATTTTCTAAGATTGTAGCTTAAGTTAAAAAAAAGAGCAAATTGAATCCAAAGTATGTAGGAGAAAGAAAATAATAAAGAACAGGAATCAATACAATAATATATAAAACACAAATTCTTCAGAAAGTCAGCAAAATCTATAGTTAATTATCTGAAAAGATGAATACAGTTGGTAAATTTCTAGTACACCTAATACATCAAGAGAAAAAACATGGTGAGTGAGAGAAGGTGAGACACGAGAGAGTAAGTACTTTAAATTTCATTTGCATGAATTTCAGGAACAGGGAAAACAAACCTGCGGTGATAAAAATGGGAAGACTGGTTGTGTCTAAAGGTAAGAGATGGACTAGGAAGGGTCCAGGGGTGGAGAAAATGTTGTCTGTCTTGACAACAGCTTGGGTTAAGTGACTGTGTGCATTTGTTAAGATTCATTGAACTCTATGCTTAAGATGGTGTATTTCACTGTATGTAAATTCTACCTCAAAAAAATCACCACAAAACTATAAACTTATACTTAACTCTAAATATTGGGTTTTATTTTCCAGTGGCATGAGCTCACTATTCTGTAATACTTCCTTTACATGTTCATCTTGTACAAATGCGTAAATATATTGAAGGCAATGGTAGTCAGGTTTCTCAGTGTCAGAGAAGGCAGTTACAAATACGCAAAGGGGGAAAACTTGGCTAAAGCTTGTGGTGCTTCACTGGCACCTGAGGTATCAGTATAAACTCATAGTTTTAAATAGATAAATAAATTTCTTTTTCTCCCGTGTGTGTGTGTGTGTGTGCGTGTGCGCGCGCACACGCACGCATGCACGCGCGTGTGTGTGTAGGACACATGCATATGCCTCTGCATTTCTAGGTCTGTCTGCTAGAAAGGCCTAGAAGCAATGACATTCTCTTGCTTATTTCTTGGTTTCTAAGATCACTCTCCATTTAAATTAACCAGAGATCTTTGAGAAAAGTCTATGCCAGGGTTGGAACAGAGAAATACAAATTGAGTCTGAACATTCCATTGTGCCAGAAAGAAAGGAAGCCCTTAAGAATGATTTAAATATAAATATTTATCTCAGCTCCCACAACAGAATCACAGAGTCAGTTTGGAGGAGCTCCTACTGGCCAAATCTGAGGCAATTTGGCCGTGAAGCAGATAATGAGCTCAGTGGATCAAATAAGTTTCTGTAACTGTAATGTATGTACATACACACATGCATATATACTTCAATGCAACCACATTATCATACATCACATTTAAATACATAAATAGGAGAGGAGGGAAAGTCTCTTCCCTACAGTAGAATGCCATCTTATAAATGTAGAAAGGATAGTGAGTTAGAAAATTATCAGTGGATGTTAATTCTAGTGAGTGAAAATTTGATGAGAAGCAGAATATGCACATAGTAACCATCTCCCTACAAATGACTTATAGAGTATAAAGAAAAAACCAATAATATCAGAATGCTGAAACCTGGCAGAAATCAAAGGATCAAACTGACATAATTTATGCTGCAACAAAGGCATGGATTCCCAAACTTAGAGAGACACATTTTTTGGTATTTTTCCTATTTATTAATGATGAACAATCTGAATCTTATCATGAGGAAACACCAGATAAACCCCAATTGTGAGACTTTATGCAAATATCCAGCCTGTAATCTTCAAAACTTTCAAGGTTACAAAAGAAAGAAAGGCCGAGAAACTCTGTGTAATGGAGGCTAAAGAGGTTTGGCAATAAAATGCAAAGCGTGGTCCTGAATTGGACCCTGGACGGGAAAACGTTGTTATAAAAGACACAATTGGGGTAAGAATAACAATTTGAATATGAACTGTGGGTTATAGTATTGTATTCATTTGAAATTTCTAATTTTAATAATTGTAGTGTGTTTTTGTAAAAAAAAAAGAGGTCTTTGTTCTTAGGCAACATACACTGATGTATTTAGGAATAAAAAGCAAATTATTACCAATTCACTCTCAATTAATGTAGAAAAAATATGCACATATAAAAATATATAAATAATTGGTTAGTTGGGCTAAAGGATACGTGAAAGTTCCTTGTATTATTCTTGATACTATTCTATAGATTTGAATTTATATCAAAATCAAGATTAAAGACCCAGCTAATTATTATACTCCTTCGAGTTATTTCAGAATTAAAAACATCTCCCGATGCACATTCTCACTCCTTGCCACCTGCTTCAGTAGCGAGCTCTCACATCTTACCTGTTTCCCCAGAAACATCTGTTCTCCGGTTCCCTGGTCTCCATAATACCAGTGGGGTTGAAGTTAAGTTTCTAGTTTCAAAAATCAAACTGGGGTTATTCAAAGCCATGAGGATAGGATCAAATAACTTCTTTAATCATAACATTCTTGCCACAAAGCCTTTCTGTAACGGTTTCATTTTCCAGCCCTTTTATTGTATTAGGTCCTGCATGATTGTTTTAACTGCTCAGCTGCATATTGTCTGTCATATCTCTTAAAAATACTTTAAAGATATTTCATTCCGTCCAAGTCCTGCTACATCTAACCTTCCTTTAATTTCCCTGCAGGATATTGGGAAGCTTGAAGGGTGTTGGAAGACTAACCTTTCAGCAGGACCAATTTGAAATATTAATGCTGCATTCATCATTGTTCCTCGAGAAGAATTTGGCCAATATGTTTAACACAGCTGTTTTAAAATGAAGAATTTGCTTGTTTCCTCAAACTTAAGATTATTTTTTCCTTGAAAACTCTAAGATCATGAAAATCTTAGTATTAGGTACATGGACACACATGAAACACTCGAAATAGCTTCAGCCTGAAGAGTTGTGAAGGGTACAATTTTGAATGGGACATCCTTATAAAAAAATGATGAAGTTGATGTATCAGTCAGTTTTTTTTTTTTTTTTTTTTTTTTTTTGCTGTGGAAATGCTGCCTAAGAAACAACCCCCCCAAATCTTAGTAACTTGATGGGAGCTGGTTCTGAGTCTGTGGCTGTGGTTCTCTGTAGCTGTGTTCCAGGCTGCGGGGACATGACACACCTGCTCTCATTCCAGAGGGCAGGAGGAACATGTGTACTGGATCTCTCGTATCTCATTTTTTTTTTTTTTCATGGCAGAGTGTGGGAGCAAGAGAGTGGCAGTCACAGAGTGCAGTCACGGGCCAGGCTTCTGCTCAGCCTTGGAGCGTGAACTATTTGCTCATGCTCCACAGTTCAAAGCAGGTGACATTGCTAAGCCCAAAGTCAACTGGGTGGGACAGCAGGCCAGACGCGGGGGAGGATGAGGGACTGTGAGCAAAGCAGTTCAGATTTGAACTGCCCTTCCTTGTTCTCCCGCGGCACCCCACCTGGCAGTCCTTGGCACCTCACTGTCTAGGATTCAGACCTCAGTGCCTCCAGTCAGCTTGGCTCCACATTGGGATATTTCCATTTAGGTCTGACCTCCAACATCCATGTTCTGTGTGTCACCTATAGGTTGTTCCTGCTGTGACCCGCCACGTTTTCTTCCAAAATATGAGATCCCCCCAAAACAGGCTATACTTTAACAATCTAATATCTAAATCCTTTTAGAAGTTTAGATTTCCTAAAGATAACACTTGACGTTTCAGATAATCTACAAATACTTTACCAGCATACTCTTGAAAACTACGTTTGCCTTTGCTGTCTTACTTAAAGAGGTGATTCTATTGTATTGATCCATTCATTCTATCCTATTGACTCTATTGATGAGGCTGTATTAGTAGTAGGGTTCTACCAGAGAAATAGAACCAGTAAGACACACACACACACACACACACACACACACACACACACACACAGAGAGAGAGAGAGAGAGAGAGAGAGAGAGAGAGACAAGGAAAGAGATTTACTGTAAGGAATTAATTTATACAATAATAGGAGCTGCCTAGGCCAGTCTGGAATTTCTAGAATGAGCCAGAAGACTGGATACTCTCAGGCCAGAGCTAATGCTGCAGTCCACACATGGAGTTTTTTCTTCCCCAAGGAAATCTTGGTTTCATTCTTAGGTCTTCAACTGATTGGATGGGGCCCACCCAGACTATAATCTCTTTTACTTAAAGTCAATTGAGTGTAGGTGTTAATGTCATATGCAGATGTCTTCACAGCAAAACCAAGATGAGCATTTGATTAACAGGGTGTGTGTGTGGGAAGGCGCTGCAGCTCAGCCATGCTGGCACATAAAGCTGATCATCACCGGGGTTTTCTGGCACAGGGGAAGGAAGCGTCTCCAGGAACAGTCGATTCAGAGACAGGTGGGATGTAGAGCACTGTGGAAGTCACGTCTGTGGGCAGGGCAACTGAAACTCCTAGCAATGTAGTTTACTATTCTGGGAAGGAGAGGAACAATATGAAATGAAATTTCTCAGAAATGATAGTAGAAATATGGGAATTTGACCAAACGGTGGTGGTAAAGAAGGCCCAAAAAGACTTCAGAAGTGTTAGATTGGAAAATGCTATAAAAAGTCAGGTAGTTCCATGCAATGGCATGTCATTCTTTACAGCACTTTAAAAGTTGGTAGGTGCTGAGGTAGCTAGTCTGCAGTGAGGGTCACACAAGTGTCACCTCTCAGGTCCGTTTGAATTCTCTTACACATTCAACTAGCCTGGCTGTGTAACCGACAAAATGCAACACAACTGATCCTAGATCACGAGAAGCCTCAACGCTTCCACCTGTTTCTCATAGCACACGGGGGATGCTAGCTGCCTTGCGAAGGGTCTGACTACCCTTAGGCTGCCATGCTACGAGGAAGTTCAAGCTAGCCACATAGAGGGGCTGCACAGAAAGAGGAGAGAATGGTCCGGCCAGGCCCTGCTGTTCCAGCCACTCCAGATGAGATGCCAGGGATGTGAGTGAAGAATCCAGGTGGACATCTTACCCCATGTGGCTTCAAATGACCCATCCCAATTCAGTCTCTCTATGCAACCACGTAAGAGACCCCAAATGACAACTTCCCAGCTGAGCCCATGCAGCACATGGATCTGTGTGTGCTGATCCTAATAAATTATCATTTTAAGTTATGGGGGCCTGTGAAGCATCAATGGATACATTTAGATGCATTCATGAACATGCTCTAATCTGTCCTTCACAGCATCCTGAGAGCTGAGTGTGGTGGACATCATAGTTCCTTGTTTATGTGCATGGAAAGTGAGTGTCACAGAGATGTGTCCAAGAACACATAGAATTTTATTTGTTATTCTGGAGACTTCCATGTAAACAGTTTAGTACTAGAGCTTCTATAATATGGCACGATCCACATTCCAGGGAACATTTTGGAATCTAGTATTCGGGTTGTAGTAAATACAGAATGAAATATGGTCTGTTTTGTTAACCCAGAAGAAACGGTGATCTGTTTAAGAAATGTCAGAGGCGTCAAGTCTCAGGGCCTCCAGACAGATGGCGGGGTAGTCTATTGACTGGCATTTCTGCCATCACCCCCCGAATCATCAAAATTCCGAGTTCGCGGCAGCGTGCCTGCAACACTGAGGTTGCCTTCCTCCCTCTTGGCTACTTCTCAGCCACTGAGTGATTTGGTTGCTGAACTTTTTTTTCTTCAGACAAATTTTCACATGCAATTGTGATCACAGAATACTAGGAAGTAGGGCACTACTTCATAACAGCCTTTCTGGTTTACATACCTTTTTCAAGGCCCTGCTTGTTCTGTGCCTTCTGGCTCTCATAGAATGATTCACTTACATGTGATCGCCACACCACATTTTAAAGACCCCTTCTGTTCTCTACTTATTACTTTTTTCCTTAGGCACAGAGAGAATATTAATTAAAAAAAACGCTTAGTGCTAATCATTTATAGAGTCCTTTACCACCTCATTCAAGAATGAATAACATGTAATAAATATTCCCTTAACTGTACTAACTTTTAGAAAATAAACAACACTACATTTTTATTATTTAAAAATCCCAATACTATTGTTCTAAGATTAGTACTTCAATCAATTGAAATAAAACAAATCAAAGTCAGGATTTAACTGGATTTTATCACTGAATTAGAGGATAAAATGTAACCAAAGAAAGGAAACTATGTTGATATTTGTAGAAAAACAGTACAAGCTTCCAGAGATGTTTTAAAAGTACATTTAGCTGCCTCCTATTAAATTTTGTCCCCAAAGAATTGTTCAATTGTTAGGACCTTGGCAGTGCAGCACAGTTAGCAATGGCCAGCATTCAGTGGTGCTCAGTAACTTAAAACGGTTCAAAGGAACATTTGCCTTTTAGAAAGGTTTTCAGCAGCATGGGTTGAAATAACAAAAGCCCTTCAGGGTGAAATTCAGGATAATGGATGCCTTCACTTATCTAGAATTGTTTATTTTCTTAACTCTTCTGTTAATTAAGGTTTTGAGACACATCAGTGGTTTACAACTTTCCCTAGAAATTAGAATTACTTGATGTAAGCCCCAACCCAGATCAATTCAATGAAATATCTTTAAATCTATTGAAAGTTCTTGCTATGTTCTGAATATTTATGTTCCCCAAATTCATATAACAAAACTCTCACTCGCAGGGTGATGGTATTAGGAGGCAAGACCTTTGGGAGGTGATTTGGTCATGAAAGTAGAGCTTCATGGGTGGGATGGGTGCTCTTACACAAGAGACCCCAGAGAGCTGCCCCGTGCCTTCCACCACGCAAGGGCATGGTGAGAAAATGGCCATCTATGGACCAGGAGGCAGGCTCTCGGCAGACACCAAATCTATTGGCACCTTGATCTTGGACTTCCCACCTCCAGAACTCTGAGAAATACATTGTTTATAAGCCACCCAGACTATGATATTTGACTACAGCACATCAAACAGACTGGCATTTCTTTAGGTCTAGAAAAATAGAGTAGATATACCTTTTCTTATTTCTCTCACTAAATACAGCTAAAAATTGGTCAGTATATATACAACCACCAAGAAAAGACTCTGAAATATGGAGAATAGGAAACAAAGCAGTGAGAGACCTTGGGGCCCAAGGAGATGTACGACCGTGAGTCCCTAGGTTTTGTTTTGTTTTTTCTTTCCCTGGGGATGTAGGGTCATAAATCCCAGGCTAGATACTGGCAAAGATGGAAACCCAGAAATACCGATGGGTACAGACAAAAGAAGCTTCAACGAAAACCTAAGTTTCTCTCTAGCCAAAGCACCAGGAAAGGGGCAGCTTAGCAAGGCAGAACACTTTTAGCCAGTGATTTCTCTGCTCCATCTAATAGAGCAGAAAAATACTGTGGTCCCATCTCTACCCTCACCTGTCACCAAGGCCAAGTGGGGAGCCCAGATTCCCACCCTTGCCAGGCTGTAAGGAGGCTGTAGTTCCCCTGCTGGCTTGGTGGTGTCAGAATAGGATGTCCCATGGAGAGTTAGTGTTTCACCACTGAACAGCCATAATGAGCCTTCCCGAGCCCCGGGGAAGGTCATGGGTGAAAGTAACTCCTGCCCTCCCAGCCTGGAGGACATGAATGAAGGCCTGATGGGAAGTAGCACTCCTGTCTCCACCATGTGGTAAGAGCCCATCCTTTGGTGTCAACAGAGGCCAAGTGGGAAACCTGGATTTCCATCCCACCTAGCAGTCATGAGGTGGCGCTTCCTCTTCTGAAGGAGTGTCAGAGTAGGCCTGCTAAGATAGAGCATGCAGATAATAACCAGGGTCTCATAACATACTATCCTACATTTCATGTCCAGGTTGTAACACAAAAACCATTCATCA